AAAAATAAAAACTAGACTTAAAAACTATAACTAAAAAATCACTTCACTAAAATGAATATATACAGGAAATGTCTTGTTTTAGTCATTGTTTTTGGTTAAATGTGTCAACACAACAAGCATGAGGAGGCATTGGTGCATGTTTATTAATACTAGTCTACATGATTGTGAGTCAATGTGATTGTAATGTAATGCACTGTTTAACAATTGAACCTCTTGGTCCAAGCAGAAATGGTTGAAATGTTACCCAATTCTCCTTGACAGATGTCTGTCCTGTTGGCTCCATCTACGATGAACTGTGGGTTTTCACATATTTCCTATCATAGAGAAAACAGGGTGTTATTTCTGAGCATGTTGTTAAATATCAGCACCATCGTGAAATACTGTGTAAGATTAAATGATGCAATGTATATTTTATTACACTCTTGTTCAACTATATTTACTCTTTAATGTGAGAAAACATATCAAACGCTGCTGCTTCTTAGTCAAAAAGCTGCATGAAGCACTATTTAATTCCACCTAACTCCTATTATAATTAAATTCTTATTATTTATTATTATAATTATTTTACATTATTATTATTATTACTAATTACAATTAATATCTTACTGATTAATGAAGCCTTTTCTAGGGTGGGATATTAAACCTCAAATACTTTGTTTGATATCAACTTTGAGATCGTCTTTTGAACAAATTTAACTTATTCTTTAAACAGATTCAGCTCCTGATTAAAGTTTCTGTTTGAGAACTTTTGGCTTCTTTTGATAAATTATATATTTTTAGTGAAATAACATCATCAAGGTATCATTTTGATATTGGTCAACATTTGAATCCCACAACTATTTAAAATCTGCACCTGACATGATTAACAACATGAGGACTTAACCCTGAAAGTGAAAGCGAATTGGAGAATGTTCTCCGGCTGGGTCAGACCAGATGCGACCCCGCCTGCATTTGCTGCATTTTTCTTAGAAAGCAGCTGTTGGAGGTCCCCTGGTCGTGACCTTTAGTCCTCTGACACAAGTGATAACGTTGTGCTGAACACAGAGAAGCCCTCACCTCATAACTACATACTAGGTTGTTTATGCTCATATTGTGGAATATTGTTTCATAGCACATATTGTTTGTTAAAAAGTGGTTCCCAACTTGTGGATTTGGTCCCACAAAGGGTCACAAGATAAAAATCTTAAGGGGTCATAGGATGATTAAAGGAATAAGAATGAAAAAATATATTTCTGCTGCACAAATGATGCTTATTTTTCTGACTTTCCTTGAAAAATATTGGATACTTTCACCTCTTTAGGCCTCTACAAGGGGAGGAGTCACAAGCCAAAAAGGTTGGAAACTATTAAAACCTTTTGAAACCCCTTTGGATAAAAGAAATAACACTCAATAATCGAGCATAAAACAGAGCATTTTCTAAATTCTGAACCATCCAAAATGGTTTCACAGGTTAAAAGAAAGATATAAAAATAGCATAAAGACATCAGAAATCCGGTTTAAGTTGAGGGGATTCACAGCAGTGACTCTATTCCCCCTCATCACACGATTGACCATAACTAAAGCTATAAAAATGCAGCCTCATGTTCCGGATTTAGATCCTGCTCCCCTGCTGACCCGTGGATGGGATTCATGTATCACTATACTCAGCTGAATGACTAAAGCTGCTGTCGTTAGTCTAAAAGGTAAATAGGAAGCTACAGCCAGTTAGCTTAGCTTAGCATAAAGACTGTAAACAAGGGAAAACAGCTAGCCTGACTGAAATTAACAAAATCCACCTACCAGCACCTTTAAAGATCACTAATAAACATGCTGTATCTTGTTTGTGTCTGTATGCTAGCTGTTTCCCTCTGTTTCCAGAAGAGAGGTATCAATGTTTTACATAAACATTATATGAAAGATATTTTTGAAATGATACATTTTTACAGATTTAACTACAAATTAGTTAGATAGTGACACCTTGACTAAAACATTAGCTACAACTTGTGCATTAATAATAACATTATTTTGATTATATTCATAATATATAGAATATTATAACACTAATTTTGCATTTAGAGCATGCTTTGTATTTCTGTTCTGTTCTTTTATTAAAATAAGATTTTGACTGCGGGGCTTTTAATTCCTCGGGAGTAATTGAACATTGTAGTCTTGCTGTTGGATTAGTGTTCGTGTCATTTCACGTGTCTGCTTTTTTTGTCTATTAATGTTTGTATCTGTCAGTGTGTTGGCAGGTACTTTGAGTCAAGGGCAACGTCTCTCCTCGCGCCCAATGAAGCTAAATGACTTCAGCCATAAGTCCTGCTACCAGGGCTACAAGTCAGAACCATTTGTTGTCAGTGGCAGAGTGTTGGAAGACTATCAAACCCTTGCAAACTATATATGACACTCTGAGGCCAACACTGAGTTGTTCTCACACAAGAGTGTCCTCCTGTGTGAGAGTCAGCTGTCTGTGATTGTAGAAGGTGACAACCCAGAGATATGCATCCACAAACATGCGGCCATATCAGCTTGACACCCACCCTCTTATGTGTTGTGGAGGAAGTGATGAGACACACAGGAGGTTTTAGAGAAGAGCCCCCCTTTTGTGTTGAGTGTATCTTGGCCTGAAGGGATATGACAGTTGAGACTCACCGAGGGCCGCTTCCACTCAAACTTCATTAAAGGTTTGTGGCTGTAGAAGAGTGAGGAGTCGTTTGCAGGAAACAGAGGGTCTTCAAACACCACGTTCTTCTTCACGTATTTGTCTCGCAGTTCCAAGAAAGTCTTAAGACGCTTGGCATCCTTGACCGTCTCATTTCTGCTCAGAATGGCAGAGTAGATGGAGTTAGTCCCAGCAGGAGGGTAATCAGCTTTGTCATCGGGCCCGAACGATGCCTCACTTTCATAAAGCACTCTGACTTTTGTATCTTCAACAAGAGGCTCTTTACCTTTATACTTCTCGTCCCCCATCTTATGAGCGTTATGAGTGTTCCTGTTTTCAAAGTCAGTTAATAAAGTGCACAAAAGAAAACTCAAGGAGTCCCTCCTTATTTGCAGAAACACAGCTTGAACTTGCCCAACAGAAACTTCCTGTGCCCTCCCTGACTCCGATAATCACTTTTAGTTCCTGTATTTGCTGGAAATACTGTGACTGCTCACGGACAGTCAGCAATCTAACAACCTCTCCCAGCAACAGTGCAACACTCACTGTTGTGTCCCTGGTGCTGGATGGACCTAAATATAGACCTCTTTAAAGGAGGGAGGGGAGGAGGAGGGGGACTTCTCGAAGATGACCCCCGTTTACAAGAGTTTCAGGTCACAATATGCTGTTCAGGGGGACTCTCCACAATCTGTACATCTAACTGGAAGTAAGGTGGATTATTACTACTCCATTATGTTTTTGGAAACATGTAATATATGAGAGTCAAATGTATTTAAATGTAGTTAAATGTATGTATTCCTGAACTATAAAGCCAATAATTAGTGCTAATTAGCAAAAAATATAATATTTACTGATAATTACTCATTATATTGTCTTAATGTAGTTTATTTTAATAAGTATGACAAATACCACCATGTGATTAACTGGATTATAATGACTCCAAACCTGTTCAGAATCTATAATATCCACTTATACTGACACCTAGTGGTGAAACAAACGCTTTGACATTTACTTCCTTTTCAAAGGTCTGTTGTGGTTGACTAAACCGGCCATTCATCATAGTTCAGTCTTCAGTTGGCCTAATTCTCTGTCAGTCTGCGCTCATATCAAATAAGAAGAGGGAGGATGTTGAGTGCAGGGTTGCCAGGTTGGAGGAAAACCTGCATTCTTGTTTTAAGGGCACAAAATTGTGCAGTTAGACTGACAGTTGTGTTACATGGTAATACTCAAGGTAAGTAACATTATGAGATTTTCTAGATCATAAAAAAATTGACATTTTAAGTCAAAATTATGAGATGATAAATTTAATATCTCAAAGTTTGGACTTGTGTTTCTGTTTTTGCTATTTCAAACATTTCAGTTCAGAATTCATTTTCTTTTTCTGTCTGTCAAATACACAATGTTTTAAGCTTTCCTTATTAAATTAACGGTGCTCTTGATGAAGATATTTAACTGTAGCTAGTGCAAAATCTGTGACCTTATTAAAAGATTAGAGAGAGATTGTGTTTAGATGCAGTTTAGCTTGCTTTTGTTGCTTTTACTGACCACAACCCAAACACCTCGTAGTCTCCAAGGTCCCATTAAATACAGTTTACACAAACTATATATGACAGCTTCATTAAATACTCAGACATCCAAAAAGTAACCAGCATTCCTATGTAGGAATAATACTAACTGGCTCCAAGTGTTAGTGTGTTTTTATGTCCCCTGTGTCTATGCACAGTATTTATTTTACCTTGGAAACAGTAGATAAAAAAACAACTTTTGAGCCATTATAGATGATAAGTCTATAAAGTGCTTTGAAAGCTCCAGAGCTACTAAATGGACCTTGTGGTGAGATTATTGTATTAACTAAAATAAGGACTAGGCAGTAGGTTCCTCTTTAGACAAACGAGATCACCTGCTGCTGTATAAAAAAGTCTATTGACTACAGCTTTCCTCCTGTAACATTAATTTAGCCACAGCACAGGTTAAAATACAATTAAAATCTTCCAACATAGATTATTTCCAAGATATTTGATCATTTTAATCAATTAGTCTCTAAGATTTCCAGGACACATGGGAACCCTGATATTGAATAACATATACATCAATACCGATGTCTGCGATAGGCCAATATCAGCTGATAATATTGGCCAGCTGAAACCAATTGACACACAGGGAACTTATGTGTATGATTGTGTATGTTTATATCTATATCAATATATGCACATATATACGTGTGTGTGTGTGTGTTCAAATTTATTTGTTTGTTTGTGAAGCACTTTGTAACTGCATGTTTTAGAAAAGTGCTATATAAATAAAGCTTTAATTACTTATTTACACTTTGCTTGTGCTGTGCTATATAATACTTATTGTATGTTCATAATACTACTACTCTATTATCCAGTTTTGGGCAGTAGGTGCATCCCCAGTAACTAGCAATGTAATTAATTACTAATACATTTCAGTAAAACATATTACAGTTACTCCTCCAAAAAATAATTAGTGACAATATTACTTTTGTTGTCACCCTCTACTGAGTTGAAATCCAATCACATCCTTGGATTTAATTTTGTAATTGTGGAGGAAACTAGCTTGGGATATGGAAACATATCATATATTACATTCGGCAGCTGGAAATATTCTCATTACTTTGATTTTAACAAACAAAACTTGATTTTAATCGTTGTAAGTTGAAATTTTGGGGGGGAAAAAAAACACAATTTTGTGTTGGAGTAGCAGAAAAAGTAATATAACTAGTAGTGTAACTGATTACTGTTGGCAGGGAGTAATAAGTAAGGTAATTATGGGACTTTTTCAATGAGTAATTAGTAATATATTGCACTTTTTGAGTAACTAACACAGCCCAACACAGCAACTGAGTCTATCTTGTATAATACATTTTTTATATGGTTGTATTTGTTTTAGTGCTCCACTCTGAGCAAAGGTCTAGTTTCATGCCCTCTGCTGGCTGCAGATTGAGCCCTCGACTTTCCCCCTCTGTCCTGTGTCTCTGCTATCCTTAACTCTGTCTGATGTGGGATTAGTAGTGGGAGCATTGTTCATTAAGGAGACACCTCACTAATTAAATAACAAGCTTACATTTACCAGAGGTGAAACTAGTTCATGATGTGTTCACAGACCCATACAGAAATCCTCCTATGAACACTTTACAATAATCTGACATATTTGCTTTGGATCAAAAACATCTGTTCTTATTATCCAGAATTAGACTGACATTTACCAAACCAACAACACCAGATCCACAAATTCACAGATTTTATTACAAATTAATTTTATCTTTACTAACAATGGCCATGGAAGAAGAGTCCTGCTGTGTCTCATTTCACTGCCTGTGTTTCAGTCCAGTTGAAGGTCCTGTGTAAGGTCCCAGAGAAGGAAGTAAGGATGTTGGGTCAGGCACTTAACATCCTCACTGGCTGCAGCTCACGCAGGGCTGCAGGCCGTTCTCGTTGCAGGAAGTGCACTTGAGGGCTTTGAAGGAATCTGTGAAGAAGTTGCGAAACACAGACATCTTGCTGCCATGGCACATTGGACACGGGATGAAGGCAAAACCCCCACAGGTCTGGCACGTCTGGGGATGCTGTACCCGCTAGAAAAATAGATTCCAGATAAAATATCATTAACATAAAGTATTGACACCTCAAATCTGTCTACACTGCACAAAATGGCTGGTTTTAGTTTTCTTTCTAGGGCACATTTTTGGAGATACAAGGTTTGACAAAAATTGTTACAAATAACTTTAAATGAATAGTTTGACATTTTGGGAAATACTGGTACATGCTTTTTTATTGAGCGTTAGAAGAGAATATCAGTGCCATCACGTACAGCACATATGCCGTGTTCACTTTATATCATCTAGACCATATTTAGAAGCAACTTAATCAGAAAGATGGTTTCATCAGCCATGACATGTAATTCAGTGAGGGTCTTAATCGATCACTTGATGAAAAGAAACACAGACGTGTCAACAAACCATTGCTGCCAGTTGCATCTTTACAACATCAAATATCAACATTAATACAATCAATTAAGGTCCTATATGTAACTGTCAGAAAACCATTGTTAACATTGACACCAGTGGCCATAAACTGAACTGCAATCAGGATCCTGTTGCTTGTGCTCACACTCACACTCCATACACAATCAGTATGTGTGGACAAGCGTCATCCTGGGCATGGGCCAAAAATAACATACACGAAACTGAACACTGAAATGAACCCTGAATGCTGGCAAATAAATTATAATCATATTTAATAATAATAATATATTATGTTATGTTAATATATCTGTAATGTTCCTGCAAGTTACGTTACAACCTGTCGGCAAATTGGCAATAAAAAGTGATTATGACATAAAACTAATACATAAAATGCTTCAGAATCTCACTATCATCTATAAAAGGAGCTAAAAGCAGTTTATTGGTATCTGGTTTGGCTTGTTAACAAACCACTTCAAATATAAAACATGGCAGAAGTAGTGATGTAGTAATGTAGGCTAAATGATGTGACTACAAGGCTAGAAGTGATTAACCATGCATGAACACTCCCAAGTTGGAATAAATTTTAGATGCTGGTATGGATTTTTTAACTGTTAACAGCAGAGATACACTCGCTGTTTAAATGCTGCAGATTAATTGACCATTTTCTGGCTGTAGCTTCATATTTAGCGTACAAACATGAGACTGGTATAAATCTTCTCATCTAACTCCGGGGCCTGCAGTCTGCAGATATAAACACATAATGAAGCCATCTTGCACGGCAGTTCCAGACCGATTAGTGTATGCGTGACCTTTCAGAGCTGCACACTTTTCTAATAGCCTGCAGTGACTGGAATGCATGACTTAAATGTCATAACACTGCTTTGTATTCACTTTTGTTGGGTCTGGACTCCGAATTACAACCGAGGCCTGAGAAAATGCTGGCGCTCGTGTGACAGGCGTTGCTGCAGCCCAGTGTGACGCAGAAATAGTTCACACAATCTCAGGTTTGTACCGCAGAGCGACGTGCTCTGCGTTGGTGTGTTTGAACAAATGTGTTGGGAGCAGAATCAATAACAGCCCCTCCATTATTGATGGTTACTTATTGATGTGCATGCGTCTGTTGTTCATGTTTTATTGATGACATGAGGGGAAATGACTGCTCCTGCTTGCGCCATGTTCATCTCAATGGCTTTGGACAGACACATTGTGTTATTTATTATGACTTTATAATTACCTTTGCTTTAATATTATATGTGCTACAAAGCATTTATATGTTACATTGTTCAGTAAACCTAAGAGCAGACACATGAATAATTAAACATCAGTATGTGTCAAACCGAGTGGTTGATTTACAGGAAAATCACCCATTTGACCACCATCACTTATTTATAATGTGATTTCCAACACTTTGAGAACCAACCTCAATTTTTGTCAGAAGATCTTGAAGCTCTCCTGATTCGTTCATGCCGAGTATCTTCTCAGCACCCTGTAAGACAGGTTCAACGCCATAATTCAGTATTTAATTAAATGGATGTACCAGATATTGACATCAGATATCGTTAGAAAGGATTAATGAGAACTGACCC